ATTAAAAAAAAAACACACATCTTTTTTTGTCCATTCATCAGTTGATGGGCATTTGGGTTGTTGTCAGGATTTAACTATTACAAACTGTACTGCTATAAATATGGGTGTGTATATATGACTATAGTATGCTTTTAATTCTTGTGGGAAGATATACAGAAGGAGAATAACTCTGTCCAATGGGGCTTCTAGTCCTAGTTTTTTGAGGAATCTCTAAACTGATTTCCACAGTGGTTATACCGTCTACATTCCAACCAACAGTGGACAAGGGTTCCTTTTCCCCACAGCCCTGGCAGTATGTGTTATTGGTTGATTTCTTAATAATAGCCACTCTTTCTGGGGTGAGATGGAATTTCACTGTTTTAATTTGCATCACTCAAGTGACCAGTGCTGTTTAACATTTTTTCATTTATTTGCCATTTTTAATTATTCTTCTAAGAAGTGGGACTATTCATTTCAGATGCCCATTCACACACTGAGTCTTTAAATTTAAGGGTGGTCTGATTTTTTTCAATTCTTTATATGATCTAGATATCAGTCCTTTATCTGAACAACTGGCTAAGATTTTTTCCCCACTTTGTGGGTTCTTTACACTCTGTTGGTGACTTCCTTTGACATGCAAAAACTTTTCAATAATGAGATTCCAGTTTTGATTCTTTGTAGTATTTCCTATGCCATCAAGGTTTTGTTCATGAAGTCTTTGCCTACATGTATGTTTTCAAGAGTTCTACCTAGTCTGTCTTTCAACAGATTTAGATTTACTGTTTGTTTTAATATTTAGATCTTTGATTCATTTTGATTTTAATTTAGTGCATGGTAACAGACATGACTCTAGTTTAGTCTTTGGCATATGGAAAGCCAGTTTTTCTAGCACCATTTATTAAACAAGCTATCTTTGTTCCAGTGAACATGTTTGGCTCCTTTGTCAAAGATAAGGTAGCTTGGGGCCAGGGAGATGGCTCAGTGGAATAAATGCTTCCCCGGCAAGCACAAGGGTCTGAGTTCAATCCCCGGTTCCGCAAAAAAAAAAAAAAAAAGATAAGGTAGCTCAATGTGTTCACATTTATTTCTGTATCTTCTAATCTGTTCCACTGATCCTTGGGTATGTTTTTTGTTTGTTTTGCCAGTGCCACACTATTTTTCATCAGAATAGCTCTGTATTACTATGGCAAACAGAAATGAGGAAACAACACCCAGGATTTGAAAGCAGATTTATTTATGTCACAGGCAATGATCAGGATCACTCCCAAAATATCAGGACCTGAAGACTCAGGGAAGGAGGTTTTTATGGTGTTGCAAGTAAGAAGCAGAGTAAGTGGCTGTCCTTCATTGGTTTTTCAGTATGTGTTACAATGACCAGCCATTTCTAGCAGATAGTAAAGGGAACTGTAACAGAAACTATTCTCTAGGCAACTAACAAACTGGCTGGCGGCATTTTCTTCTACAGTATAATTTCAAGACAGAGGACTGTGATTACCCTTGCCTTGCCTTTGTTGTCCACACCTTGTTTTTGCTATTCCAGGTTTTTTCTGGTTCCAAATGAATTTTAGTAATGTTTCCTGATTCTATGACATATGCTAATGGTATTTTGACTGGGATTGTATTAAATCTGTGTAACAGTTTTGTTGCATAGCCATTTTTACTACGTCGGTTCTTCCTATCCAAAAGCAAGGGTTATTTTTCCATTTCCTGATATTCCCTTCAATCTTCTCTTCCAGACACTATAGTTTTCAATGTAGAGATCTCTTACTTCCTTTGTTAGATTGGTTCCTAAATATTTCTTCTTTTCTTTCTTTTTCTTCTTTTTTTTTTTTTTTTTCTGTGCTATTAGGGAAAGGAATGATTTCCCTAATTTTTCTTTTGGTGAGTTTGTCATTTGTGCACAGGAATGTTTTCAATTTTTTTAAAATGTATTTGGTACAGTGTCTCACTATGTAGATCGGACTCATAGTGATCCTCCTGTTTTCAGCCCCCCCCCCCCCAACGTTGGGATTACAGGTATGTGCCATCACACCTGGACTACAACTGATTTTTGAATGTTGACTTTGTATCCAGTTATGTGTCTGAATCTGGCTATTAAATCTAGATGCCTTTGGGTGGAATTTTTATGATTTATATGTAGAGTTTCATGTCATCTACAAATAATTTTATTTCTTCCTTTCCTATCCTTCTTTCTCTTATCTAACTGCTTTAGCTAATGTTTTCAGAATTATACTGAATAGGAATGGTGACAGTGTACTTCCTTGTCTTGTTCCTGATTTTAGAGTAAAAGCTTTAAGCTTTTGTTCATTTAGTATAATGATGGCTGTCGGTTTACCACAGATGACTTTTATCAGATTGAGATTAAAACCATCTATTCTAATTGTCTGGGTAGCAACTAATGTATTTGTTGCGAATGATAAAACATTAAAGAAAAAATAAAATTTTGAAAACTCTGAATTCACATTTGTAAGTTGGAGTGCTTATGACTTGTCTGAGACATCAATGGCAATAGTATTTGTTTGAAGCCTCGTAACTGTTCTAACATTTTAATATGTGCTTGTCTTACCATTAACTAGTAAGCTCTATAAAAGGCAGAAATGCCAAATATTTGTGTTTTCTAAAAAATCCAGAATCAAATTGATAGGTTCCAGCCTGAGGACAAACTGCTAAATTATCATGGCCCTGATTCAAATGGCTGAATCCCCAGAAAAGGTTATTATCCCAATGACTTCTTCCTTCCCCACCCCAGTGCTGGATACCTTTCCCGCGCACACAAGGGAGCCCCCAGTCAGCTCCTGTGTGTCACTGAACCTGCCCCTCAAACTCTGCCCCTAGCAACAGTGCATAGTTTCAGTCTCCCTGTCTCAGGTCAGAAGATCCTCCTATCTGTCTGCCATGGATCCTCTTCCTGTCCTGATCAATAGCAATACAGGCCTTTTCTATCCTTTTCTTTTACTTCTGCTTCTCTGTCACACCACTGAAAAACCTAACACAAATTATATACAGGATAGTTTAAGTATTTGTTGGCTAACTTGATATTCTGACTCCTGGTGTTTATTGGTTAAAAAACATTTGTGCACATGTATGTGTGTCTCTGTGCATATGTATTCTGAGTTAGTATGTATTCTGGGCTCTTGGTGACTGCATTTGTCAAAATTCTTCAGTTCATTTTTTTCCCATATAAATTACTTAAAATTTGCCATTTTCCTTGGTAAGTACAAAACTATAACTCTCTTTTCCTAGATAATTTACTCAAGATTTGTCTTTTTTTTCCTTGAAAAACAGAAAACCAGGCATGTGCTGAAAAATGGCCCAAATAATCAAAACAATTCTTCCTTTTTCTTTCTTAATGTATTTGGTATAGCGTCTCACTACACAGCTCAGACTTGTGGTGATCCTCTGGTTTTTAGCCTCCCCAGCACTGGGATTATGGGCATGCAACACAACACGGGGACTCGTTCGCCAGCTCAGTGCACCCTGGGGCAGGGCTAGTGCGGCATGGGGCACCAGGGATCAAACCCCAGTCCCTGCTCTTGCCTAACCAGGTGCTTAGTCTGCTGAGCTATCTCATTGACACTAAAACAATTCTTCCTTTTAGTAAATATTCAATGATTTTGACTCTAAACCAGGAATTGGCAAACTATATCCTGTAAGCCAAACCCAGCCTATACCTATTATTTGGAAATAAATTCTTATTGGCCTAAAACTATCCCCACTAATTTCAGATTGTCCATGTGGCTTCAACAATGTAGCAGCAGAGCTGCAACAGGGTATGAAAGCACACGGCCCAAAAATGTTTAAAAATATTTGTTATCTGCTCCTTGGTAGAAAAACTTTCCAAACTCTACTTTAAAATACAGTGTCTGTGTTTCTTTTCAAGTTATACAACATATACTACTTCTCACTTAAACCAAAAAATTCTGTAAAAAACAAAACAAAACAAAAACATTCAGAAATCTGATCAGCTTAAAAGAGCTCATATAATCCTCAATGGCCTAGCTCTTCTAATATTTAAGATTTTAGTATGGCATTTATCCGACCCTATCTACCAAAGCCAAACATCTGTTATCACCAAAAACATCTCATGAACGAGGTTAGGCAGCATTAAAACATTTAGGAGCCACCCACTAAAAAGATTACAGGGCGCTTCTGCTGCTAGCCATGAATGAATAAGGAACTAGATATGGAACCAGCCTTCCTGCCATAAATGACAGGAAAACTGGACAGAAGTACATAATATGACACCACAAAAATGAGTTTCAAGTTATTTCTGTACTTACTGTGCGTCTCCACAAGATCAAAAGCCACACTAGAAACTGTGTCCATTCCAGAGTCGATACAGGACTGGAAGTTTTTTAAGGAGGAGAGAGCGGACTCTACACCACTGAAGGATATGAAACCAGTTGAACCTGAATTTGAACTGGAACGTCCCGGCATCTTGAAAATATTACCTAATTTTCAAACAATATCAAGAGTTGTATGTCAGAATAATAATTGCATATGAAAATACCACTGTTATCAACATTCATATGAATGTATACAACACTCAGGCATCATGCTATCATCTGCATTTAGTATCCCTGGACACAAGACCACAGCATTGTACCATAATCTGGGCCACCAAAACCAGATACTATGTATGGCAAAGGTAACTGCCTTTATATTTTAAAGGAAAAAGAATAGCCTCTTCCAAAAGATTCTTTGACCCTGAAGAAAATACCCTCATCACCTCCTCTGCTTACCACTTCCATTTCTGTGCTCACCTTCACAGGAAAATCCTCTACAGATCTGTCTCCAAATCTTGTATTCTTCCTGCAACCAAGACCTACTAGACTTCCATCCCTACTGTTACAGCAAAGTTGAAGTTACCAATGGCACAGGAAACACAAGCATCACTCTCTAAAAAGCAGAGGGAACCAAGCTGAAGCCAGCTGTCCCAAAGGAGTGAAGTACTCCAAATTCTGAGCCTCGAGCTTTGGGGAAGCAGGGATTTTATAGCTTTGTTTCAGTTGGGCAGGGCTCACAGCAGACAGCAGAATTTTACAGCAGCAGAAGCTATTGGAACACCGTGCTCATCATGTAAAACAAGGCAAAAGCAAAACACTGCGGGTGAAGCTGAAGGTACAGCACTTGGTTGTGGTTATAGGAAACTGGCACAAGAGAAAGGTTGGAGGACTGAGAAGGGAGTCTAAGGTCTTTTTCTGTCTTATTACCACTTCACTGCAACGGCTCTTATCAAGGACACTAACGTAGTATTTACCTCCTTTGATGTATTCATCAGCAGCCTTTGACAGTTCACATCTCCCTTTGTCCTGGTGTACTTCCTTTACCTGCCTATCTCACTGGGTGCCTCTTATTCTCTGCTGCTTCCTCTCTATCTCCCAAGCTCCCCATGTTCAAGGGTAGCATGACTCCAAACTCAGACCTCTTGTTCTTCTCCACCTACACCCAAATCGAGTACAGCCCAGCTTCAGAGCTATTTCTGTTATTTCTGCCACGGTACTTTTCCTCCAGTCATCCGCATGGCCAACTTCTTCCTTCAAACATCACCATTCCAGTAAGGCCTTCCATGGATATCAGTGGTAATTAGGAAGTGACGTCAAACTGAATGGCTTTGGGACCCACCCAGGGGACCAGCAGAACACAGTTCTGGGGGTGTTTGTGGGGGTCATGGAGATGTTGTCTTGGGGGTGTCTGTGTCTGGTATCTGACCACTTCTCTAACACCATTCCTCTGCTTTGACAGTCATCATATACTTAGGCAGCTTTGCTCCACCACCCTTCCATTGTGACATTTGTACCTTGGAGCCTGCTGGTCATGTAATGAATCTCCTGAAACCATCATCTAAATTAAACCTCTCCTTATTTAAGTTGTAGGTCTCAGGCATTGTATTCGAGGGATGGAAAAGTAACCAATACATACCAATTTCCATTACCCTGGCATTTTTACCATCTTCCTCAGCATTATCTTTGTTCACAGGAGGCATTGTACTGCCTGACAACATTCACTGAGTCATTATGTTATTGTCTCTCGTCACAAGTTAGACTATAAGTTGTGAAGGGACAGACTTTCTCTATTCTGTTCACTACTCTATTTTCAGCCCCTAAAAAAATGTGCAGTAGAGCTCCTAATCCATGTTGTCATGTGTAGTCACAGCAAGAACCCTATTCTCAGTACCAAATTCTGCTTCAGTTACTTTTCACTCATTGCTGGGATACAATACCCAACACCCACATTTAAGGAAGGAAAGGTTTATTTAGCTCACAATTTGCGGAGATTTCAGTCTTTTTTTTTTTTTTTTTCTCTGTATTTAGGAGAGGGTTTACAGGGTCTACAGGGTTTCACCACACAGATCAGACTTGTAGTGATCCTCCTGTTTTCAGCGTCCCAAGTGCTGTGATTATAGGTGTGCACCACTGCTGTCTCAGCGCACCCCACAGGCAGGGCCAGCACGGCATGCCAGGGATCGAAGCCAGGCCACTGAGCTCTGCCTAAGCAGGTGCTTTAGTCTGCTGAGCTATCAGGCTGGCCCTTGAGGTTTCAGTCTATATTCAGCTGGTTCCCAGGCAGAGTGGCACATGGCAAAGACCAGCAATTCATGGCAGCAGAAAACAGTGAAGAGCAAAAGGAAGGGCAGCAGTTGTGGCTTCTACCAAGCTTCTCTCCTCTCCTTACATTATAAGCAGGCTACCCTGGGGTGGGGGTGTAGAACCTACACAGTATCTGTGCCCTCGTCTTGTACAGGATGAGGATGTTTACACAGTAAGAATCCTTGCTTTCTGCTGAGTCACTTCATTAAACTTCTAAACTTCTCAAGTTGACACAATAGATCAACCAGTACAACACCCAACACAAATTTTGTCAGCTCTGCAATCAAAATATCTCCAGAATTCAACCAGTGCAACCAATTCTACCTGTAACACCCTGGTTTGTCAGCAACTCTTACCTATTGAACTACTCCATCAACCTCCTACTTTGTCTCTCTGCTCCCAACTTTGCTGATCCAAAAATCACACTTTGAAAACCAATCTTCTACCTTATCTGGCCGGCCACTGCTAAGCCTCTAAAACTATTTTTAATAATATCCTTGCAATAAATGCAGTAGCAAACTTCCTAGGACTCAGAAGAAACTGAGGATAAAACATTGGTGACAGATTAGACAGAAACCTACCAAACTGGGTTGTTCAACTTTTACAGAGCTACTTATAGACCATATTTTTTTCAGTTTTCCTTTCAGTGAAAAGCACAGCCTATGATTACATTTAAAGCCCTGGAATAGGAGCCATTTCTAGGTTGAGTCCACAGAAGCCACATAATTTCCTGTTTGACAGCTTAATAAACCCAGACATTGTGACTTAAGATCCTCCAATGACTTAAGATCCACAAAGGAGAATTACTAGAAGAAAAGAGGAATCTAGGACCCTAAGTACTACGTGGAGTGAAACTGATCACCACCCAGGTTTCATGTATGAAAGAAACTTCAACTGTGCAGAGCCATTTACATTGGGGGTTTACCTGTTACAGTAACAATCAAACTCAAAGGTACAATTCTGCAAAAATGACTAGAACTACACAATTCAAATACTCAATTTTCTAGTCAGTCCTGATTCTAGCATAAATCTTAGTTGCCTACAACAGTGTTGTCTAGTAGAACTTCCTATGATGACAAAAATGTTCCACAATCTGCACTGTCCAATATTGTAGTCACTAGGTATATGCGGCTATTGAGTTCCTAACATGAAACTAGTGTCAATGAGGATATGAGTTCTCAATTTTATTTATTTTAAATTAATTTAAACAGCCACACTTGACTACTGGGCATCAGAAAGTACAGTCTAGCTGCACAATTATTGAAGTGTATTTTATGTGTATGAGCCAGGACATAAATAACAAGTGCCAAAGCTATAGATAAACAAAGCATATCTTCTTGGGATTTACTTAAAGATAATATGCGGGCTGGTGAGATGGCTCAGTGGTCTAAAGCACCTACTTAGAACAAGCTAAGCTAAAGCACAGGGACCGCGGTTCAATCCCCCAGCACCACATGCCAGCCAGC